AGCCATTTTTTTGTAATTCACCATGGTTGCTATGGTAACGGATAAAACAGATTGCATATACACTTTTCACTATAAATCCTGTTAGAAAATAAATATTAGAAAATGGCTCATAGTTGCATTCTACATACCTTAAGCTACATCTGTGCCAAAAATGGGAAATTTTCATTAAAACAGTAGCAAGAAAAGCTAGGGGGGGAGTTGACGTGCGGCCAAATATCACATTTTGAGAAATAGACAGTTAAAGTTTAATTTTCGTTGGAACTTGTTGTTTGAATGTTATAAGAGTGTTTGAGGCTCTATTACTTAAAACAATGTGAAAAGCAATTTTTCAAAGTAAACTAACCATTTACAAAGCAAATTTACCATCATTCGTCCAAAAATTATAAACTTTCGTGGACTTTCGCACAGACTTCCGCTGAAATGCCACCCAAAAATGGCGGCGTGAGAAAGGCTAATTGCATCATTTCATTTTCAACATAATATATTCGGTGCTTCCAGGAAAATTTCATGGAAATTTAAGGAAAGTTCACTAGGAAAAGAGGAAATTTGGATATGAAAGTGGAAGCAACGGCTTAAGACAAATAATGAATAATGAGCATAGGCGTACGGGAAGGAAAAAATTAGGGGGGCAGAAAGAAATTTGCCTGACTTTTTCGGATTGTGCCCGACAAGTGCCGAAAATATTTTTTTCCGGAACAATTTATTTTGGCGACCTCCCCCCCCCGGGTCAGTGTACCATTTTAGGGGTCCAAAATTTTTTCGGATGTCACGGAATTCTTGAGAAACCGGTCTTGGTCACATTACAGGACTACTACTCTACGACGTACTTTTATAAATTTTAATAAATAACGGAAAAATATAAACTTTTATGTTAAGTCAGCCATCTTGGTTCTTCCCCAATCAAAAATGTCCTTCCCCCCTGCAGAGCTACACAGCTCCCCCTAGCGTTAGTTTTCAATTGAAACTAAAGATTTGTGACATGACTCCCTTTTTTGAGAAATTTACAAAATTTCATAACAAAACGCAAATCTTTTCCAATGAGTATCAAACACCGTCTCTTGAATGTATATCAAGTTTATAACAAGTCTCTAATGAGTATCAGACACCGTCTCTTGACTATCAAACTAGTCTATAACAAGTCTCTAACAAACTCTACTGAGGTAGTCGGCACCAACGTTGTCGACTCCTTTGATAGACTCAATCTTAATACCATAGTTTTGCAAGAACATCGCCCATCTCATAACTCTGTCGTTGAGAAACTTCGCTGTCTTCAAATAGACCAAAGGCTGATGGTCGGTTTGCAATGTAAACTCTGTTCCATAAAGGAATATCAAGAACTTTCGGACGGCCCAAACTACCGCGAGACACTCTCTCGATCGTACTGTACTTCTTCTCGCTTTCCGTTAGTTTCCTGCTAGCATAACTAACTGGCGAAAGTTTACCATCATGCTCCTGCAATAATACCGCTCCGAGTCCTGTGTCAGATGCATCAGTTCTCAGTGTAAATGGTTTCGCGTTATCAGGCAGTCGGAGGATCGGCGAACTCGTAAGCTCTGTTTTCAGTGCGCTGTAGGCCTTTTCTTGTGCATCGGACCATACGACTTGGTTTGGTTGTCCCTTCTTAGTCAGGTCTGACAACGGAACCGCCTTCGCCGCGTAATTTGGGATGAACTCTCTGTAATAACCAGTAAGGCCAAGAAATGCTTTAACTTCTTTCTTCGTTCTCGGTCGCTTCGCATCTCTAATCTTCTTCACGTTGTCTTCGTGGAGCCCTTTGACTCCATCAGATATTCGGTGACCGACCACTTCGATACATTCAGCTCCTAGGACACATTTCGTCGGTCTCGCCGTGAAACCCGCGCTGGCAAGTCTACTGAACACTTCGTCAAGCACGACGAGATGTTGTTCCCACGTCTCCGTGTAGATAATAATGTCATCGATGTAACTGTCAGCTTCATCGAGATCATCCAACAACTTCCTAATACCTCGCACCAGAGTCGCGCCAGAATTCATCATCCCGAAAGGCATTCTGACAAATTCATACGAACCGTCGGGGGTCACGAACGCTGTTTTAGGAATATCCTCAGTGGCTACTGGGATTTGCCAATAGCCCTTGCTCAGATCCAATTTGGTAAGATATTTCGCTTTCGACATTTTCTGGAATATCTCTTCTGCCGTAGGCATCGGTGTTGGATCAAACACGGTAACACGATTCAACTTTCGGAAGTCGACGCAAACTCTGTTAGTGCCATCTTTCTTCCGTACAATTACCACTGGTGAGGCATAAGGTGATTTAGATTCTCGGATAACACCCATCTTAATCATATCTCGAACATCTTTCTTTAATGACTCTCTAACGTTATAAGGAATCGTATACGGCTTCGACCGGATGGGCTCGTCTGATGTAAGTTTAACTTCATGCTCAATAATATTAGCGTTACCGGGCACATCAGTAAAGATATGTTCGTACTGTTTGACTACTTCTTGTAGTTGAACCTTCTGTTCGTCGTTCAGCTGTTGACCGAATGTCACATCCCTGACAGTCTCTTTGGGTTGCATGGTACCAAGCTCTAACAGGCTCTCATCGTCGACGGCTCCTTCTGGACCACTTTCGCTTTGCTCAATCACAGCCGCCGCAGCAACGTGAAGGACTGAACTGCCTTCAATCTCGCGATCACTTTTCTTTGGCGACGCTTCTTCCCGCTCTTTGACTTGCGTGGTTTGTCTCTCGACGTATTCCTTCAACATGTTCGCGTGAAATGTTTTTACTTTATCACCAACCTTGATTCCGTAATCATTGACTCCGACAATCGACTCTACGACGAAAGGACCTTTCCACTGCAACAAGAGTTTATTCTTGTCAGTCGGCAATAGAAGTAAAACTTTGCTCCCAATTTTGAGGCTTCGTGACTTAGCCTTTCGATTGTAATAACGCTGATATCTTACTTGAGACTTCTTCAGTTCATCTTGTGCCAGCTTCACGGTCTCTTCTAGTCTCTCTCGAAGATCGAACACGTATTCGTAGCTGGTCTTCACTTCTGGATCTTCTACTTCACGGGTCCACAGCTGCTTCAAAATCATCATTGGACCTCGTACGGTGCGGCCGTATAACAGTTCAAATGGGGAGAATCCAGTGGATCCTTGTGGCACTTCTCGATAGGCGAATAACAGGGCATTGATATAACGGGGCCACTGCTTTGGTTGCTCGCTACATAACTTCTTCAACATATTCTTCAGACTGCCATTGAACTTCTCAACAAGACCGTTGCACATCGGGTGGTAAGGCGTAGTTGACAGTTGCTTGATACTTAGCAATCTCGACACTTCCTGCATACACTCAGATACAAATTGAGTTCCTAAGTCGCTAAGAACTTCCTCTGGAACACCGAGTCTACTGTACATATCTACCAAGGCTTCAGCAACTGCTTCCGTACTAATTGATTTCAAGGGAACCGCATCCGGGTAACGGGTGGTATAATCAACAAGAGTAAGGATATAACGATGTCCTTGCTCACTGGGTGGGTAGATGGGTCCGACCAGATCTACTGCTACTCTCTTGAAGGGTATGTCAATTAATGGCATCATTTGTAGAGGCACTTTAGGGACTTTCCCTTTCTGTATGGTTTTTTGGCAAATGTCACAAGAACGACAAAATCGAGTGACGTCACCATGGATTCCAGGCCAATAAAAGTTACTTGTAATTTTATCAGTGGTTTTTTGGATACCCATATGTCCACCCATAATCGAACTATGTGCGACACCCATTACTCTTTCACGGAGGGGTTGCGGAACCATTACTTGTTGGATGGTTTTCCCTTTGAAACTCTTGTAAAACCGATACAAAACGCCGCCCTTAGTTTTAAAGGTTATCTCTTGGTCACCCTTTGTCTTAGTGTCAGTCATGTTTCGGTATTTCTCTAGTGTGGGGTCTTCCTCCTGCATTTTGCGAAGGTCTTCCTTACCAACTGACAGTCCATTCGAAACATCTGGGGTCTTTAGGGGTTTAAGTTTATCACTTCGCTTTGCTTGAGACCTAGTGGTTACAGCACAAGTTTCATGCCACTCGGGGTCAGGGTCATCCGGGGCCCTGGCGCCCTTTACATTACCAATAATGAGATCATACAGTGCATCAGGTAAACACTGTGCTTCCACTTCTCCCTTCAAATAGGGGGTATCAACTTGGATCTTAACTATCGGGACTTGTCGAACAGTGTTATCAATAAGGAGTATATAACAGTACTTGCCGGTATACTGGTCTTCCTTCACGAACTGCTTTCGAACCACCACTCCGCTGCACCCTGTATCCCTTAGGGTATCTACCGCGGTATTGCCAACCAGCCCTTTAACAACAGGCATTTTGTTCTTCCCCAGGCTCTCTGTCACAGATCCACCACTCTTCACAATGGGTAACTTTGTACCGTTAGCCAATAACAATTCATTATTCTGGATACAGGACTCAAGCTCGGGCCCGACACCACTAAACGCACTACTATCGTGTTGAGCAGCACCTGCTTTAAAGGGACCGTTCTTACTCCCAGCAACCTTACAATCTCTGGCATAATGTCCACTGCGGTCACACAGGAAACATCGTTTCTCAGCCCTAAGCTCTTGTCTTGCCGGCTTGCGGCATTCACTAGCTTTATGACCATATCCCTTGCAATTAAAACACTGAATTCTCTTCTCATGGGTGCTTTCCTTACTGCTATCAGGCGAATTCATTCCCTTCGACAACACCTTCGATTTGTTGTGAGGTTTTGACGAACTGGATAGTTTTTTCTCATGAGCAACAAGAAATTGCTCAGCTGTTTTAGTCAGTTCCTCCAAATTCTCAAGATTCCTCTCTCTTAAATAAATTGCTAGGTCTTCTGGACAGGAATGTATAAACTGCTCTTTAATGAACAAGTCACGAATTCCTTCGTAGGTCGTCTCAGTTTTAGACAACTCAACCCACCTGGTGAGATATCTATTTAATCTCGTCACAAACTGTTCTGGGCTTTCCCCATCCTCTGGCTTTCCCTCCCTGAATCTCATCCTAAAACCGCTTTCAGTAAGTTCATACCTTTTCAAAAGGGCTTCTTTCAGCTGCTTGTAATCAACTGCGGCTGTCTCTGATAGTCTGGAATAAACATCTAAAGCTCTACCAGTAAGCAATGCACTAAGCGAAGTCGACCATGTTGATTGGTCCCAATTATTGTTCTTAGCGAACCGTTCGAATCTTTGCAGATAACTGTCCAAGTCATCTTTACCATCAACAAACGTTGGTAGTTTAGGTAACTTAGCAGCCGATTTAATACTAGCACTATTTACCTCAACATTCGCGCTCTGTAATTCCAGTTCTTTCATTGCTAGTTCGTGTCTCCTCTGAGCTTCTTTTTCTCTTTCCCCCATTTCTCGTTCCTCTTCCTTTTCGTCCAGTTCTCGTAGCCGTATACGTTCTCTTTCCTCAGCCTCTAACTTTTTGCTCTCACGTTCTCGCTGTCTCTCCTCTCTCTCTTCATCGACTCGCCGTTTCTCTTCGTCTTGTTGTTCTTTCACAAAAGCCAATAGCTCTTTGCCTTCAAAGCCAAACTCTTTGCCCAGTGCAATAAGCTTTTCCATGCTCAATTTTAAATGTCAAAATACACAGTCTTTTCAACACACACAGATCAAGTTGTCCTCTGGCCAATAATTGTCAGCGATACTACAATATCCACAATAAAGCCACGTACAATATGATTAAATACCTTCCAAACCAACAAACAATGTTGCCCTGTGGCAAATATTTATCCACAATTCTATGTTATTATCCAAGATAAAGCAAAAATACGACCAAATACCTTCCAAACCAATGATCAATGTTGCCCACTGGCCAATATTTATCCACAGTTCTATGTTATTATCCACGATAAGGGCCAAAATATGATTAAACACCTTCCAAACCAACGATCAATGTTGCCCACTGGCAAATATTTGTCCACGATTCTATGTTAATATACACGATAAATCCAAAATCTCTTTAAAACCAACGATTAAGGTTGCCCTCTGGCAAATTATACTTGTCCACAATAAGAAAATGTTTACAAGGAACAAATCATATTTCCCAATTACTCTCCGGCGTATAAATTGTCCACGAATACGGGTCGACAGTTTACTTTCGTTTTGAAATAAACAATACAATTTCCACCCAAAAACTTTCGCCAATTGACCGGTTTCCCGCCTGAGCCCCCAGATGTCACGGAATTCTTGAGAAACCGGTCTTGGTCACGTTACAGGACTACTACTCTACGACGTACTTTTATAAATTTTAATAAATAACGGAAAAATATAAACTTTTATGTTAAGTCAGCCATCTTGGTTCTTCCCCAATCAAAGTGTCCTTCCCCCCTGCAGAGCTACACAGCTCCCCCTAGCGTTAGTTTTTCAATTGAGACTAAAGATTTGTGACAATAACTGGCAAATCATTACAAAATAACGAGAAGAGAATCGGACCTAGCACAGATCCTTGGGGTACACCAAACTTAACAGGCATTGACTTGGCTACATGACCATTGATCACAGTCGCTTGATGGCGATTCGAGAGATATCCACGACCAGAGATTGCCTGATACACCTACAATCCTGGCAAAAATTTTCGTGGACAGCGCGTGCGTCAAACAAAAATAGATATATTTCTACATAATTAATCCGCCAGAAAATTTCTTCCCCTCCTACCCCCAACTCAATGTTGGTAAATGAAACTTTTAAAATTTGAATGCGAAAAACAACATTGAATAGGGGGCAGGGGGTGACAAATTTCACGAAAGAACGTCTCAATGTTAATATTGGCATTAGGAAAGTTAGGTGTCCACATAATTTTCCTCAGCAAGATTGGGTGAGAGATCGAATCGAAAGCCTTTCAAAAGTCCACAAAGACAACACCGACCACTAAGTTATTGTCTAATGCCCATCTCCAATCTTCGGTCATTTTCACCAAGAGTAATTCTGTCGAATGACCTTTCTTGTATGCCCATTGATGAGTATGGCTGAGCTCATGATCTGTGAGGTGGGTGATGGTTTGGGACACACACATCTCCATGAATTTGCCGGGCACACAGAGCAAGGATATGGGTCTGTAGTTACTCTTTTCTGTTTCATCGCCCTTCTTGTACACAGTGACGAAACAATGGCATTTTTCCACTGGTCGGGTACACTGTTACTTATTGCACTTGATGTGTAGAGGGAAAGTAGACATGAAATCAATGCCTGACCAGCGTTCTTGAGTAACTTGGGTGAAACCTTATCCAGACCGCAATCCTTGTCGGGTTTGAGATTTAGAACTCCTTGTAACACACTCTTGATATCCATCACTGTGGGCATAACACGGTTGATGGCAGTGGTGGAGGTTGCATGGTATTCTACGGCGGGAAGTGTATCAGCCAGTTTTTCACCAATTGCTGAAAAAATGCTCATTAAATAACTCAGCTTTCTCTTGATCAGATGTTATGATTTTTCCATCTAGACCTTTAATACCAAGTATTGGTTTACTCAACAGTTTATTCGTAGCATTTTTCAGCAATCTCCAGTATGACTTACAACTCTTTACTTCATTGAACCTGTCTATGTAGTATTTCGTTTTGGAAAGTCTTACTTCGCGTGTTACTCTATTTCTCAACGCATGGTATTCCACAAACAACTCTGGGTTTTGCAATCTCTTAGCTCTCAAGAATGTTTTGTATCTGTGGTTCATCAGATGACGGATTTGTGGGGTGATCCATGGCAAGGAGTTCTGTCTTACCTTGACTTGTAAGGCGCATGTCTTTCGCAAATGTTGTTGAAAAGATGATCCCACGCCCAGTAAACATCGTCCGTATCATCAAACACGGAACACACAGACCAAGGCGCTTCTTCGATATCTTTATGAAAATGTTCCGAGTTGAACTCACTGTAGGTACGTGCGTTAATGATCTTTGGTGGAGGTCTTTTTACCTTGGTTGCTAACGAAACGTACATTTTAATCATTTCCGGTGTACTGGAAATTATATGGTGAATGAGAGTTGAAGATGTTGCTGTAACTCTAGTTGGCTGGTCGTTCATTACAGAGTAGTTAAAATGTTGTAATGTCCGGAGTAGTTTTTTACCTTGTATTGACACAATTTCACCGTTTTTCGAACGAGTTATAGCATTTAGATCACCAATGATTAACACATTTCTGAATTTACTCCACACTTTTTCCAAAACCATATAAAAGCTGTTGAAGAAATTGTAGTCCGACGGAGGTCTATAGACAGTTCCTAGTATAGTTGAGGTCGAGTTAACTGTGAGTTTAAGCCATATTCCTTTGATTTCACGTGTCTCTAGAGATTTAAGTCACGAGCAACAAATGTTATTTGAAACATAAACAACGCAACCTCCTCTGGGACCATTATCTCTGTCCTTTCGAGCTATTTTATAATTTGCAATATTCAATTGTTGGTTAGAAATCTTTGCTTCAAGGTGTGACTCAGTTATTGACAGCACATCAAAACGGCACACTTTCAGGAGTACTTTAATTTCATCTAGTTTGTTCCGGAGACTACGAATATTGATGTGTGCAATTCGTAGGTTGGTTGACAAGTTATCTAACAAATGAACAAACTGTTCTAAATAATCTTTGCGACTGTCAACGCTTTGCGTACTAGGGCCGGGATTTAGCTCAATGTCACCAGAGAGTAACAGAATTTGCCTTGAAGCAACAGAATTTGAATAATATGCAACAAGACTATGCAAGAACTTCCTTTTTGCTAAATTACCATACAGTTTTGTTCTCGAATTCACACAGTTTATTTGATAGAGTTGCTGAGATTTTGATAAAACATATATAGTGTTGTTAGAAAGTTCTTCTGGCACTACATATCAGCAGCGTAGGTCAATACATGAAGAGCAAGAGCAATTCAGGGTAATTGGTCTGATTTCTTAGATTTTGGTGGCATGTGGCCATCAAGGATGGCTATATTCACTTCAGCTTTAAACACGTCATTCATTTCCCTCAAGAATTGTTGTGGATCGTTGTCGAACATGTATTTTGTGGTGGGTTTTCTTCATGAAAATCTTGAATTGTCTGAAAAATGTCATCGGAATTATCGATGGCTTCTGTTTCAATGTAACAATTCGCATCGGCTTGCTGTTATGGAGTGGGACGAAGAACCAAAGGAACGGAAATTAAGTGTGTCCTTGATCCATTCGTGCAGTTGGACTGTGTCCTTGATCTATTTGTGCAATTAATTTTGAAGCGTTTTGAATTTGGGTACAGCCAAGGATCGAGAATGGTGTATTTGCTGGTATTTCTCAAACTTTTTCGGTGCTGTAATGATAGGTAGCACTTTTGCCAGAAAACAGCTTACAGAGTAACTGTATGTCACCGCTAGCGGTTTCATCGACGGATATTAAAAGTTTATTTAGCACATCTTAAATTTCAGATGAAACCATGTATGCTTTTCCGCACTCTGCTATCTGCTTGACCAGAGCAGAAGATGTTGCTCTACCGATTAGCACGTTATCATGAGGATTGGCGATGGCCAAAATGTGGGTTGTCGCTCCATGATCCACTGAGGCAGATTTACCAGTACCCGGATAGCCAACAAATAAAGTGAAGAGGTTGGGTAGCTGTTCATAGTTGAAGGTGGTAATGGTGGCTCCGTTCTTGGTGAGAATAAACGCTGTTGTGGTAAGGAGTGTTGGTGCAAAGTAGGCAATGGAACTACCAAGCAAGAGGGCTTTATTTTTTTAACAATTGCAGGACATTATCTTGAAATAAGCCTGCGTAGTTGTAAGGCATAGTAAACAGATTTGAAGCCATGTTTCTGTTACAATAATATGTGGTGATTAAGTGACACTGTATTACATTCGACCAGTTTATTGTGATATGATCTTGACAGGTAGGTGATTAATTAAAGAAGTTTGGTAATAGGAGGGGTTGTTACATTGGTGAAATGTATGTAAAAAGCAATTTGAAAACATGCTACATGGGTAAACATAGAGTACATAAAATGAGTGAGAAAGTAAAGACTGCTGATGTGTGTGTGCAAGTTATTAAAAAGAGAGGAAAGCCCAAAGAAATTCAAACCCAATTGTCATTCATGAAATGTAATAGCGTAGCAACGCAATGTGGCGAAGAGAAAGGAAGCTACCAACGCAAGAAATGTGATAGAATTGGGCAATGGACATATGACAAACTTAAAGAGGAAGTCCTTTCAAGCAAGAGATGTGTAGTAAGACGGTTGTGCGCCCTCAGTGTGATATTGCGATGAAATTGGTCGAATGTGAGCATTGGTTAGATGGTTGTAAATGGGAATGTAGGAAACAGGTAAACACTAACAGGCACAAGGTTGAGTTGTCTATTAGGAATGAGAGTTGATTTGAAGAAAGTAATTTAACATTGGAAGAAATTATGAAATTGACATACTGGTGGTGTAGAGGAGTTGAACAGGAAACAATGAGGTTTGAGGTCCATGTTAGCGGGAATACAGTTGTTAATTGGGATAGTTTTTGTAGGGAAATTTGTGAGGTGAATTATTTAGAGTGCAAGGAAAAGGTTGGTGGTTCAGATAAGAGAGTGGAAATTGACGAGAGTAAATTTGGGAAACGAAAATATCACAGAGGGAATAGGGTAGAAGGGCAGTGGGTGTTTGGCAGTATTGTTTGCAGTTGATGACAGAAGTGAGGTGATGCTGTTGCCAAAACCATAATATCGAAGCTCGAGAAACATGGTTACAAGCATCTGACTGTTAACCACTCGAAGGAATTCGTGAATAAGGATGGCGATCACACTAATAAAATATGATTATGCATGTTTTTTTGAGAACGGGGAATACAGTATAGTAGTGATATTATGTGTGTTTTTTGAGAACGGGGAATACAGTGTAGTAGTGATATTATGCGTGTTTTTATTGAGAAGGAGCAATATACTTTAGTAGTGATCTCTTGCATGTTGTTTGAGAACGAGGAATACACTATATAGTAGTGATATTTTGCATGTTTTTATTGGGAATGAACAATACACTATAATAGTGAAATTATGTGTGATTTTTTGAGAACGAGAAATACACTATAATAGTGATACTTTGAATAAAATGCATACAACTAAAATATAGCTTTGTTGTAAAAACAAAACGAATATTAGACTCTGAAGAATGAGGAATGCAATTTGTTTGTGATTAAAATTCATACAATTGACGTCTTTATAATATATCTTTATTAATTGCTAAAACAAAGTTTATGTAACAGTGTGGATTCTGAAGAACGAGGAATACAATATATTTACAAAAAAATTTGTTTAAATAGATAAAGACCGTACGTCCTTATAATAATTACGTAATTGTGTTCACTTCGTATCATCATATCACTAAAAATAGATAGCTTGCCCAGTTTTGATAAATAACGGGAATTTATAATAATTACAGTTTTTAATTTCACTTTGTATCATCATATAATGAAAAAAATACCTTGCCCAGTCCTAATAAAGATGTGACTTATAATAATGACGTCATTATTTTCACTTTGTATCATTGTATCACTGAAAAATCTACCTTGCCTACTCTTTTTATAATAACACGCCACTTAAATGATTATATAATTACTTTTAATAAATAACGTAAATTTATAATAATTACGTTTTTTAATTTCACTTCGTATCACGGAAAAAATACCTTGCCCAGACCTAATATTAAAGACGCGACTTATAATAATGACGTCATTATTTTCACTTTGTATCATTGTATCACGAAAACAAAATAGTTACAAAAGTGGACAGGTATTCTATAATCTAGGCTTGACATGTTTGGGTTAGTATTTTGAAAAGATGTTTTGGAAGAAAAATATGTCTTGAACAATACTGGTTGACCCTTAAATTATAACTAGTGTCATGTAAATCACAGAAAATTGAAAAAAATCTGTTCCATACACAATATTCCGGATTCTACAAGGTCCCGAATGGGGCTTATTTCAATGTTGAATCTGCTTACCTGGAAAAACTTGAATAAGTCAAGAATTTGACTATGCTCATCATCCAAAACCAGGTTTTTCTAATTGCTTTTTCACCTGGGTTTGTGGCAGTACCAGTTAGGCGACCATGAAAAATGTGTGTGGCACTTTTTTTGGACACTGAAGATCCCAGGTAAAATCTTATTAAGATTCTTGGTAAGTTTCTTACTAAGATCTTATCCTTATTCTTTGTTAAGAATCTTACAAGATCCTTACAAATCTTGGTCAAGAATCTTTCAAGATCGTACAAGATCTTGCAAGAATCTTAGAAACAACTTACAAGATCTTGAGTATCTTTCAACAAGAGCTTGAGTCAAGAATTTACAAGATCGTACAAGATCTTGCATGAATCTTAAGTAAAAACTTGCAAGATCTTGAGCATCGTATAAGATCTTGAGTCAAGAATCTGTGAAAATCGTACAAGATCTTGCATGAATCTTAAGTAGAAACCTACAATATCTTGAGGATCTTATAAGATCTGGCGTGATCTTGAGTCAAGAATCGTAAAAAGATCTTGCAAGAATCTAAAGAAAGAACTTACAAGATGTTATGAATACGTTTTTTTTTTCAGATTCTTGTTCCATTTCTTATCAATATCCCATCTGAATGGTCAGAAAATGTGACACCTTCGTTTTTAACTGATGAAGATTTTAAATTACTAAATTAAACCATTAATAATGACAAAATACAAATATAACAAATTTGGTGCATCTTCTATATAGCACTGTGATTGTCAACAATTAACCTGGGTAGTTCCTCGGGTAGAGGAGAACTGATCATGTGATTGGCTAGTTGTGTTGTTTGTGGCGTCAGATATAACCCAATCCCTATCTCTAACCCTAATCCTTAATCTAACCCTTAACCTAACCTCAACACTAATCACTATAACTAACTGATGACGTAATCTGTGATGCAAATTCCTCTACCCGAGGAAGTACCCATTAACCTACTACATTCATAAAATGAACTTAAAAGGGCAGTGCGATGGAAAATTGTGCTGTCTTTTTATTGTATATTCAGAAAGTATAACAGTAGATAAACAAAGTTACCAAATATCAGCGTCCAATTCCATTTCTTTCTGCCTTTTTTTTCAACGCAAACATGCAAATTTTTTGGTCGCCATTACTAAGTTAGATGTGGATTTCTTAGGCGGATGTGACGTCATGTACTCAACACGCTTCTTTCCCGAAGGAGAAATTAATATTATCAAAGGCTTATACTAGGCTGTTTTTTGTTCAAAATTATGTCTTCTGAC